CCCAGTTCCTACTCCGTCTGTGACCCCGCCGCTGCAAGTGCTAACGTCGGAATCTCCACTTCACAGTGACCAAGCCCGCAGGCAGCCCGGATAAGCCCGCGGGCAGCCCGCTAACAGCCCGAAAGCCCTCCTCTATATTGGCCCGCGGGCTTCCCATGGGCGGCCTGTGGGCAGCCCGATTTGTAAACGGGTTCGGGTCGGGCTGTCGATCATGAATGCAGCCCGGCCCAACCCGCCCGGCAATGTTCTGGCCCGCCTCGGGCCGGCCCAAACCTGCCCGATTATCATCCTTAGCAATACCTCATGGCCATACGTAGGTGAAATGGCCGAATCCACCAAATCACCGTGACTCAGTGAGGGGAAGGGTTTGATCCAATCTCATTTCCTTGACGAGTGTACGTGAACTCGACGAGGTGAGGTTATCAGCAGTATCTCGTCGAAGCGCGGTAACAAGTGATGGATCCTGGATGTTTGACCCGGTGGTAGCAGCTGTAGCGGCCATGGCTTCTTTGGCATAAATAACCAGCTCAATGAAGCCCTCATGCTCGTCGTCAAAGCACTTTACAATAACAAAACAGACACTCCAAATCAACGTGAGTAAATTCAGTTGAGAAAAGCCCATGTTCCATTCAAAGATGCTACTCTGGGGCATCGCTCTGTACACATTGGGAGCAAGTCAACTGGCGCAAGCGAGCTTGGCTGAGCTTGGAGAAACGAGGCCCAGTAGAAGTGGTATGATTCTTCTACGTCGCAGATTCTGTGGAAACGTTTCTAGCCATCTCATCTCACGTTTTCTCACCTCTGTTTTCTGCCTAGTGGTTCCCATACAAGATGTACTTGACCATGTCCATGATGACTCGAGCCTTAGAGGGGCTAAAAAGAGAAGGACGGAAGTAGGGGAATACAGTGAACAAGATCACTCTGGCCAAGATGAGCGGCAGGCAGTTGACCAAACCTGGTTGGACAAGCAAGGTGAACTTCGCTTTCCTCTACATACCAAACCCAGGCCAGCATATTGAAAATTGCTTGCACGGTACAGCCGAGATCAAATCCATGGACCAAGCAAGCGGAGAGATCCACCGAAGGATCGCGTACCTCAAATTGGTTGGTGGGTCTCATGAAGAAGCATTGAATTCGATTCAAAAGCTAGAAGACGTCCATAGGCACTTGGAAATACGGTATCGAAAAAAGAACAAGGCGGGAATCCTAAGGAAAGCTGCTCAATATAAGCAACCATCTCGCAGACTCAAATTCGTCCTTGGAGCGGACTTGTCAAATTCCGGCGAGAGCTCATCAGCCCAAGCTTCCCAACGCTTGAGTAATCTTGATGGTGGACAAGCCGTATTCCCATCAGAACAGTGGGATGACTTGGTCAGGCTCACTGAGCCCGAGACCGAGTTCTGTCGTGATCGCCCAGACTTCAAGTTGTCGTTCTTCGAAACCATGTTTTTGCTAGGCGATTATATGGTCAACTCGAACCTACTCGACCCAAGCTTCTTCAAGGCCAACAATTTCTTTCGGCCAGAGGCTCTTACTCAACTGATCAAGGCCGACCTCAAGTCAAGATTGTATGGCTTCGGAGGCTTGTTTTTCGGATTTGATGCTCATTCATTGCTCCCTACAATTCAATCTTTAGCAAATCACAAGTCAACAAAACACCTTCATAGATCCATCAAAGGTGTGTTTTTGATATCTATAAAAATCCGGTGACATAATCGTCTCAATGTGTGGAAAAACTGATGCTAAGTTTTTTTTTCCTATTTATCTATTTTGCCAATTGATCAAGTGCTTGACAAGGAAAACCACCGGGAGATTGTCTATGATCACCTTGGAAACACTATGAGGTCTTTGGACTGGCCCAGTGTAAGAGCCTGGGGAGAAAAATCTGTGGAATTTGGAATTGTTTCATCCAGATTTCTTTCACCATATTTCATCCAAGAAGCAGATGAACTTTCCCAAATGTTGATTAGGTTCAAAGGACCAACCCCATCCAATGATTTCAGAAAGAACCCCATTCATTCAGCAACTCAACATGCAATCAATTTGTTCAACCAGCCTTCCAAACTTTCCAATGGGAAACGGCCAAGGTTGGAATTCTTGATGTCATATTACTATCTGGACTTTCTCCACACGTATTACAAAGAGATTTTAGATCACGTTCAAGCCACAAATCTGGAGAACCAAAAATCTGAGAAGAAGCGCAAATTTCTAGGTGAAGCTATCAAGATCTTTACAGATCCCGCTGATCCTTGGAAGACCAAATTCGACAAGTATTCTCGATTGATCTTCCAACAGAAGCCCCATGATGATCTTGAAATGAAAGAGTGGATTGAAGCTATCACTTCAATCATTCTTGAACTTGAAGTGTCTGGTGTTATTGACAGAGCTTGTTAACATTGCTATGACCAGCTGAATTATTGGAAGTTGAAACACCTCACCAATTTCCTATATTCTTTCCCTCATTTACTTTTGTTCCTGACATTATGTACTGAAACTGTTCAAAGTTACACCGTGTTAAAACAGCAGCAGACATACAACAGCTTCAAAAAATCATCATTTTTTCTGCTGATTATTCAAAAATTCTACTTTTCCTTCTTTTTCTTGGGTCGAGGTTTAATTTAGGTCTATCTTTAAAGGTATCTTTGATTTTTCATTCCAGTTGTGAATTAAGTGGATCGATGAGTGTTCTCATAATCGGATTCAAGTCCATTGACAAAAAAAACCCCCGATTGAATCAATAATAACATCAATACTATACCCCTAGAAAACAAGCCAAGTCAAGTCCCCAAAGAACCTCCATGAAGCCCCCCCCCCCCCAAAAAACCATTAAGATTCTCACTGACAATCAACAAATGAGAACAGAAAAAAAAAATACAAAATAGACAACCATGGTGAGTAGACATAAATAAATAAATAAGTAAATGTAGATAAGAAAGATGTTAAAAACGAATTGGAAAGATAGTCAGAGGTAAGAAAAAAGAAAGAAAGTAGGATTGAGAGTCAAAGAGAAGGATCGGGGGTTAAGAGACTGGTAAGGCTTTGACAGACGTCAATCGGACTGCCAACGCCAACACTAAACAAGCCGAGAAACCAACAACAACAAAAGTATATATCAGTGCGTGGATCCGGTGGTTGATAGACATGCAAGAACAAAAAAGGAGGAAGAGCGACTGACAGGCTATGTTTTCGGACGAGGCGAAGTACTGGGTGTAGATGTATGTGTTGAATCAGATCGATTGATCAGTTGGATAAGATGTCAGATTAATCATCAACCGAACAAAAAAAACAAAGTAAAAGATAATCAGTTTAACGATCCACCCGTTTTTTTTTTTTTCTTGACAGAGAGAGAGAGAGAGAGAGAGAGAAAGGAAGAAACTTAACGGTAACCATGTCAACATGGACTTGAGAATGATGATTAAAGTTTTGTTCGAACTTCTTGAGTGCGTTTTCGGCGAGCAAAAACTTATCATAGATTTCCTGATGGGAGGCTTTATGAGGAGCTCTAGAGGAAGCGGCGGATTTCTTGAACTTCTTTTTCCTCTTGATCTCACTCTCATCATCCTCATGATCATCATCATTTTCGTTAGGGTCATTATGATCATCATTCTCGTTGTTCTGATGGTGATTCTCTCGTCCTGATGGTCGATTGGTGGACGGATGTCCATCATTGAAGATGTTTCCGTCTTGGAAGGCTAAGTTGAAGCTATGTGCAGACTTCGTAAAGTGGGATGTGTAGGAGGCAAACATCGAGCATGCGGTCGTTAACTTTTGATGGATCTGGATCGATCCCAACAAGCGTTACAACAAACGAGATCAGTACGAATCATCTTACCTTAGAAGAAAAAACTAAAAAAGTCAGAAAGAACCTTTAACAGTTTGGAATTTGTCAACATGCATTCTTTCAAACAAGTATCCAAGAAATCTCGATGTTCTCTCAAGAGACCATCGACGGTATCGACCTTATTAGCAAGCCTGAACTCGAGCTTGCGATAATTTTTTTCGAGGACCTCGAAGCAGATAAAGTTATAGAGCGATTGAACGAAGCTGAGCATTTTAGCCCTCAAGTTGAAGATCCTACGTTTCCAGGATTCCAGTCTAGGATGCACTTTCGAGGACGATTTCCAGGCGGTTGATTTGATGTGTTCGGTCCATGAGATCGTCAGCGATTGTTCAAGATGTTTCAGATGGAGTAAATATCGGAATATCAGTTGGTATCGTAAGATCGTCTTCCGTGAGATCACCAATGAAAGTGGGAACCGGACCGTGTAATCGAGCTGTAAGGCATCAATCCCTATGTAAAACCCCCCACCAGCCCCCAGAAGATCAGCCTACATATACCCTTATTTTGATGAAGGTTATCTTAGACAGTAACAAACCATTCAAGCCTTCTTTCTTAGTTTCCGTTCCCCCAGTCGAGCTAGCTCCTCCCCCTTCACCAGCTGCAAGCTCAGCCAATCCAGTGCCGATCGTATCCAAGGCCTCCGCATTCTCAACGCTTCCGCCAACGCCCTCGCCACCGCCGCTTCCGATACCACTGCCACCACTCCCGCCACCATACAAGCTTCCAGTTCCAAAGTTAGCACCGATAAGACCGGTGACGCCAACGATACGGAGGAGCCAGTCGGTCAAGCTGGTGGTAGCCATGGTCACCTTGACATCCTCCTTATAAGGGTCGCTGGAACTCGAACTACTCGGGTTCCGGATGGCTAGATCGAACTGGTTCTGGAGCCGAGAGACGTTGACGTGTCTGAGCTTCTTGCCTAGCTCATAGGAGGCCGAGTCCAAGAAGGTAGTGAAGCTGTCCCCCTGGGAGAGGAAGAAGTGGTGCTTGAGCGAGCGCAGTCGACCCAGTAGGTCTTCCGATCTCATCAGTAGCTCCAGCAGCGATCGATTGGCCGAAACATAGGCCCGGTCGATCAACCCGTAGAACCAGTCGTCGTTCATCTTAATCAGTCCCGTCGAGCCATCCGCGTCGGGCGCCTGTTCAAAATCAATCTCAAACTCGTCCGTCCGTCCCTTCACCCCACACTCCCGGATCACGTTCACATATTTGCCAGCCAGCAGGATCTTGACCTCCCAGACTTCCAAGAACCGAGGTAGTACCGCGCCGCCCCAGACGCCCTTCTCCCGCCGCCATGAGGCTCTTCCTGCCTGTGACCATCGTCCATCGTGTGCTTGAGCAGCATCCGCTCCTCCATGATTGGTCGTGGGATGACCGTCGGTCCCGCCGGCGCCGACGGTGGAGGCCCGATTACGGAGGACATACTTGCGCTCCCAATACTCGTCGGTGAAGTCTTCATCAAGCGTACCACGGGTGATCGACTTGCTCTCCTTGATGATGAACTCCTCGTAGGGGTCATCGAGGATGCCCTTGGCGACCCATTGGATGAGCATCTTGCAGTAGGGTTGGGAGGCCTTGAGTAGCAGGTCCGAGTAGAGCTTCAAGGCTATCGGATCGCCCAACGAGCCCATCACCCGCTCCTCCAGGATTGCCAGCACCTCACCGCCCTTCACCATCGCCCCCTCGGCCACCCCACAGCTCGTGCCCCCTCCCCCACTACTCTGGCCCACCCGTCGCTGCCGACTAGTCTTCCGTCGTCGCTCCGGATCGTATTCCTTCAACACCGCCTTCAAGCCCGGGTCTTGCTCCCACTCATCCTCCTCCGTCCCATTCCCTCCTCCTCCCTCCCCATCTGATGACGATGATAGCAGGTCGGGCGAGTATAGACAGACCAGCTCAGTCGTAAACGAATACAATAGCTTCAAGGTGTGTAGCATGTCGTGCACATAGAACCAAAACCTTTGCAGGGTAAAATCGGCCGAGCGGTTGAATTGATCTTCCAATTGAACGACCAATGTCATATAATCCTACACACACATACACAAGACCCATCCACACAATCAATCAAATCGTCTCTTTTTACTTTAGAGAATTCTATTGATGAAGGGGAGGAGGGGGGACTTCAGTGTGATCTACTGACCTTAAGAATGTCTCGAATCGAGGCACATAAGGCGTGATTAACTAGTCCACAATCTAAGTGACTATGGGCTGCCACAAAGGCATCAATCGAGGTGTAATAGGTCGCCAATGGTAAGATCCGTTCCACTATTTCTCGTAATGATGGGTCTGGATCGATCAAAAATCCAAACAGATTTCTCTTTTTGCGATCAGCATCGTATCTCCCATGGTTTCTTAACACTTAGGTTAACATTTTAATTTTGTCTCTATTTTCGTCTTTTTTTTGGTAATTGAGTTTTCTCGTAAAAGAGATGTATAGAAGATACAGGAAAACAGGAGAGGGAAGGGAGGATGACCGACCTAGATCATTATCGATAGAGAACCGAGCACCTTGGAGTCTTTCGAACGGATCATCGGGCGAAAAATGTTCATGATATTCGATAAACGTGCCTTCGATACCGAGCAGTATGAAGAACAGATCTTCGATGATCACCAGTTCCTGGTAGTCGATTCCAGAGCCATCCTGAAGGCTGGCATTTGAGGAGGACTCTTGGAGGATATGTTTCAGATTTTCTTTATGTTTATTGAGATGATGGTTTTTAGGTTTGGAAGCTCCTTGATGATGAGGATGATGAGAGTCGTCGAATCGCAGTTTGTTCAAGAACTCTCCCGTCTGATCGGCGTCCATTGACTCGTCTTCTTCTTCTTGTGCGTGTTCTTCTTCTGAGGCCTCTTCTGAAGCCCCTGCTTTTCCTGCCCTTCCTTCATCTTCACTCGTCTCTCGTACTCGCTGTTGACTCGTTCGGTAGCTCGCCTTGCGTGGCGTCAATGCGGGTAATCTTGAGTTCAATGGCGCGTGTGAAAAGGAGGATGGCTTGGAAACTTGATCGGTCAAAAAAAAAAGTTTGTTTTCGTCATTTTTATTTGTTAAATAAACAATTTGTATGAAATCCATAAATACAATCAGTTTCTTGATCTCCCCTTATTTGAGCTTTTCCACAATAAACAGATTCTGTTTTTTTTTTCTCAATTGACTCACTTGGTTGTTGATGTTTGAGAGTCGATTTATGTTTAAGCTTATCGGATCGAGGATGAAGATTAGTTCTCGATTGAGGTCTACTAGAAGGATCGCGGACGCTAGCAATAGCTGAAGAAATCTAAAGAAGAAGAAAAAGAGAGAGAACGAGAGAAAGAGGTCAGAAAAAAAAAGCGGACACAAGAGGCAGAGAGAAAGACAGAAGATACTTTATCGACTTGTTTAGCGGAGAGGCCACCGAACCTAGTAGTAGATGAGGGTTGATGGGTAGATCCCGAGGGAGTATGTTGGGCGAAGACCGGGTTGCGATGGTGAGGGGTGGGGATGGGGGTCGAAGTGAGTGAGGCGCGATGGGCGGAGGCCGAGCCGGAGGTGGCTGCCGTCGGAGTGCCGGCCCTGTGGTTGTTGGAGGAAGAGCTGGGCAGATTGATGGAGACCCGGTTCTTGGTCGGATGGCTCTTGCCGCTCGGCTCCAGTTGGTTGTTGGTGCTCATCGTCGTGGTTCTTGGTGGGATGTGTTTCTAGTATGCTCTCAACCCGGCCTTCGATGTGGGCCACCCTTCGGAAGCTTGCAGGTAAAAGACACATCATCACCCCCCCACTTCATCAACCGGGGTTTGAATCACTTTTGTCAGACGATCGATGATCAAAAACTCTTGAAATTCCTTTTTCCATTTTGGTTGCCAATCGCAATCAAAAATGTGATACTTCCGAGACACATCCCATCTCCAAAGTGCTACAAAAACCTAAAGGGTACATACGTGTTTCAAAAAGAATCCACATTGTCTCTACAGAACTATCGAAAGTGGCCGGAGTGAGACACAGATTGGCCTTACTTACTGAACTGGTGGGTACATATGAACGTTAATGGGATCGGAGCGCATCATTGGAATTTGGAAGCCATCGTCAAGTGTACACCATTCTTTCTAGACGTGTCAAGAGAATCCACCATCCTGCAAAAACGGCCTTCAAAAATCAATTCAACCTTCTTCTTCTTCTCCCGATCCACTTCTCCCATCTATACACACAAGAAGCATGTCAAAATAAGCCCCTGGCCCTAGCCCATCAAACCACCAGAACACTCTTCCTTGCTTATCCATTTATTTATTTATTTATTGATTTGTTTGTGTGTGTGTCTGTATTTCGTGTGGCTCTCCCTCCCCAAAAAGGCAAAACAAAAAGAAAAAAGCAAGAGAACAAGAACAACAATAAAAAAGGAAAAAGGGGGGGGAGGGGACATCAGAGAAAAAAAGGAGAAGAGTATAAGAAGAAGAAGAAAAAAAAGAAGAATCAATCAATCGAATTCGAATAATTGAGACAAGAAGAGTTCATAATCGAATGCAAGAGGAGCAGCAGAAGAAGAAGAAGAGTTGGTGGGCCCATGATGATGATCATTAGTAGCAGAAGCAGCAGAAGAAGATTGATCGACCGATGAAGATCTGACTTTTTTAGGAGGAGAAGAGGAAGAGGAGGAGGAGGAAGAGGAGCAGGAGGCGAAGGGGGGCATGGCTTCGAGCAGGTAGTCGATTGCTGATTGAGGCACTAGGGCGTGTCTCAGATCCACCTCCGTAAGAAACGGCTACACATTGAATCAAAGAAATTTAAATCAGTCGCTCTCCTTCTTTACCTCTAAAGAGAACGACATCAGGGAAAGGGGAGAGAAAGACGTACCTTATCACCAGCAATCCCGCGGAAGGATTCCCGGACTTGGTCCGGTGACGTTGTGTCCTCAGTGATCTGAACTAAGAAGCCCACGAAAGACTCGAAAGTGACCATCCCATCTCTGCCGGCTATCTGATGATGAATATGTTCAGTGTCCGAATCCTACACAAACACAAACATAAAAAAAAAACTTAGTTCTCAATAGTCCCAGTGACGGTTTTGTCAAACAACAACATTAGAAAGAAAGAAAAAGGGATGTGTACCGAATAGACGATCCCTAAACTGGCAAGCGCCGCACTAAACCCAGGCAGTCCCAACTTGTTTTCTTCATCTTTATCGAAGTACCGAAACGTAGTTTCGAACTCTTCGATCTGGGCGGGTGTTAACCTAGTCATTCCAGCCGAGATGATCTAATGAGAAGAGAAGAAGATGTCAATGACAGGTTCAAAAAAGTACCGTTTGTTTTCTTGTGAAGAGAAAGTTTAGATCTCAGGGAGAAAGGGGGGAGGGGGCTCAACTTGATTCTCGACGAAGGCGATCTTTCGGGCTGCCGATTTACGGACTTCTTCAGTCTCGAACTCAAGATCATCAGCCGTGTAAACGGTATAGTCGTTTTCTTCGACGTTTGCTTCGAGACAATCCTGTTCGGCCTGTTTGACACGTGCCAGCGAGGCCGAAAACTCTTCGCCTAGGATAATTTGAATTTCTTTGGCTCGAGCTAGTTGGTCCTATTTGCGTTATCGATGGAGATATCAATACAACGTGATTTTCTAGTTGTTATGGGATACGGAAATAGCACTCACATCTAGTGGACCTGTTAGCGCTGCTAATTCTAATGCGTATTGATGGAGTTGGTGTTCAAACGCATTAGCCAAATCGGCAAATCGGACTCGCAAACCTTCCTTGATTCTGTGCGAAAGACAATATTCTCTTTAATTACCAGATTCCGGGGAAAATTTGATGATGAAAAAAGTCACAAACTCTTGGATGCTTGCGTTGATAGATCTTGATCGTTTGGCTTCGGTGACAAGTAACTCTTTCCAGAATGCCTCGAGATCCTACAGTCAAGGGAAATAATATATTTGTCAAGAAAACTCGACGACAAGCGACAAACCAATCTGAATCACCCACTGTCAGTTTCAGTCCATCTGGCGGGACATAGGTCCTCAAATTATAAGTTCTGAGTTTGGTGACGATATTGCCGAGCAGGCCAGCAACCTCGTTCTTTTGTGCGACCCAATCCCGCTTAGTCGTCTGTTTATACTTCTGGAAGTCTGCGGCAAGTTCCTTGATCAACGGGTATGTCGAGGGCAGAGTGCTCGTCAATCGAGTGGCTATCGTCTGTCTGATTTCGTCCATCAGCTCAGTCACTCTTCGCTCATAGTCATTCATCGACGTCCATATCGATTTCAGATTCTCTACGAAATTCGCCACTCGCCGGGCTTCGACTTCCGTCTTGTCTAAACATGAATAAAAAAAATTGAATTAATCAGTTTCCAGCAAAAGAATGTAGATTGTTGTAGATATTAAAAGAAAGATAGTTACCCATAGATGAAAATGCATGAAAGTATTGCGCAACATATGTCATCACAGACCGTTCATCGGGTTTAGTAGCATCACAAAGATCGGATATTTCAAGCAATTGCTAAAACAGAAAAGGAAGAGACGATGTTAGCACGGCTCATTCTTTCAAGGAAAAGAGATAGAAGAGAGACAGAAACTGAGAAGACAATCGAGGTCGCACGGGTATACCTAAGCTGGTGGCAGCGATATCAAAGGCCATCTGAGTACAAGCGTGTCGATCCCCTCGAGGTAGACTGTCCCAATCAATCAGATCTGGTCGATGATGATGAATTAGTGCACATCTGTAGATGAAAAATCACCAATTAGGTCAACATCGTTAATTGATATTTTAAGAACAAAGGGAAATACATACAATGCTAGTCCATCCTGCCAACTACCGCTGAAATCTGTTACATTGACTGATTCGTAACCACGTGTTTTGCGCTGACACCATAGTAATAGACCTATGAAGACCAATTTTGAAGGATTGAGAAACTGCCAAATGCTGGGCGGAGGAGGGAAACAGTTAGATTCCTACCTTCTTTGGCATTGACACCCTCTTCGCTGATATCGGCAATAGTAAACCGAACTGATCGAAGAATAAGAAGAAACAAGAATGTCAGTCAACCAGTTCTCTGTCAGGAGGGGAAAGGGAGAAAGACTCAACGAATGAGGGTCCAAATGAGGCCCAATATCAGTTTGAGATTTCCATCGATCACATCTAGTAGAGGTAAAAGGGGGACAAGGGTCAGGAGGGACTCGGTAGTGAGGTCTCGAGAAGGAAAGTGATGACTTCGGGGGCCAACCTTCGGGGCCGATGTTTGTCAGAGTGACTCCCCGGGACTGGATGAACTGGAGGGCTTTGTTGACGTTTTCGGCTTTCTGGACGCGCATCCGTGGTGTCCGGTTGTACCGCCCTAACGAAGCATCACCCATGATTTCCTATTCAATACACACATAGCAATAAGGGTTAGCTACTCTCGATCACGAACTTGGGGAAAATTCCCCGAGTTCATTTGCTCGATGACTAACCATCAGTTGGATCAAATTTGTGCCGTCCGATAGGTCTTGACTCAGGTTCGACATCGGAGGCACCTTGCGGACATCCAGCTTGGCATTGAGCCTAACAATCAATCCAAAACAAAAGAGTTCATTTGTGATTAGTAAAATAAAAAGTAAAAAAAACTGAATAAAAAAAGCCTCATGATCACTAACCATTTACAAAATGTTCTAGCCTAGAGAAGAGAGCCGGAATATGAAATTAATCAGCCAACAACAAACAAGAAAACCAGAGGGTAAAAGAGTGGAGCAGAGAGAAGACAGACCTGAACGTCCTCGAATTCGGTGGTTTCCCGAGCACTGATCGTGGGAGGTTTGTAAGTGGAAGTGACGACGGAATTTCCGGCATGGGCGGGGAACGGACGGTCGGCAAAGGAAGGCGTGGGCGCTGCTGAGACGGATGAGACACTCTGGCTCGGACGATGGCCGCTGTGCATTTGTAGCTTCTGTTGTAACTTCGTCGAAAATAACTACAGAATTTTTTTTTATCCGTTGTCCAAAGAAAATTTCACGTCGGGTTTCGATGATCGTCGGTTGTGTTGAGGATGATGATGATTTGGGTTTGGGGTAAAAGTTTTCGGGTTTAGTCAGTTTTTAATTTTTTCTTTTTTCTTTTTTTTTGTAAGAGGTCACTTCTAGAGCCAAGGAGTGAAGAGAAAGTGCCAGAATTACGGCACGAGTGCGAAAGAGAGAGAGCGAAAGAGAGGGAGGGAGGATAGAAAGGGGGGACGACAAACGAGTACAGCGCAGATCAGGGATTAGTGAGTATGTAGACCAGCTAAGATAAGGGAGAGTCGAACGAGAGCTCAAGTGTATCGGAAGCTATTTTTGTTTGGTTTTGATGTTCTTGATCTTGTCTTGAGTAGGAGGTTTCTTCCGACTGATAAAAAGCGTTCTTCTTCTTCTTCTTTTCCAGTCTTCAAAGTTCAAGCTGCCAACGCCGGAAGGATGTTGATGTTGTTTGTACTTTGGGTTGAATGTGTAGAAGTTCGTTCGGATTCAGAGGCAGAAGTTTTTGAGCAAGAGGGTGGTGGTGGTGGTGGACTGGGGAAGATTAAAGGGTGTTTGATTGTTGATGAAAGGTTTTCCAAAAAAAAAAAAAAAGAAAACTCAAATTCATGTATGGACTTATAAGCACTAGGGATCGTAATAAGTCCATACATCGGGTGACCAGAAGCATTTATGTGTCACCACCAAAACTTGGAAGTTTTTTGGAGCGGCTTTCATGAAGGTCAAGAAGAGCTCGACCGACTGGAAACTTTCGGCTGCCAATATTATGAGTCTCTCTAATCATAGCAAGAATTGGGCTACTGCATGGTCAAGAGAAGATGATGAATGCCGCACGCCGTTGGTGAAGGGGAAGCTTGTCTGTGTTCACTTCTTCGGGTAACTGGATACTACAATTCATCCAATGATCACGGACTTCTCTATCTCAGTTCTAAAGGATTCTAGTACTTCTAGGAAATCTATTCACGTTATTGTATATATGTGAACTCAGTCAACGAAACCTTGATTTGAAGAAAACCATGCCAGACCCAACAGTCTAGACCCGAAGAATTTCTCATGCGGGAGGAACTCGAGATCACACGAGGAGAGTAAGGGATAAAAAAGAAAAGAGAGAAGGGGGTGTTTTTTTATCACTAAAGGCTTACCGTTTTAGCCTTAGGACGCATTGCGAACTGGGGCAGAAGTTTGTGACCGGTGCTGGCGAGGAGAGCCGAGCTATCGAGACTGGTGGTGGAAGTGCAGACGCTCTGGTTATCGTCATCTCCACTCGTACTGCTCGTCGATCGCACCTGGTCTTCGTCTTGACAGTTGTTGCTGGCATGTTGTTCCTCTTCTAGCGTCGACATGTTCTTTGAGTTTTCAGCTTTCTCTTCTAGCTCACTTTTTTTTTCGTTCGTTCGTTCTTGTGTGGTTAATGTCGGTTTTCTCGCAGAGATCCTAATTGGGTTCAAGGCCTCGTCTGTGTATCAATCGTAATGCTTCCTACTTTTTTGTTTTGATGATGATGATGATGATAGGGTCTTTGGCGTTTTCACAAGGGACAATCGGCTAGATGCGTAACTTTTTCGTAATAGAAAAAAGCTCTCTAGTATCTCTCTGTCTGTGGGTGGGTAAATTGGCGGAGTTCTTCGAGTCGAGTTAACGGAGATTTTTGGTGCAGATCGCATGAAATAGGAGAAACAAATATATATATAAAAAGATTAGCTGGATGTTCTCAGGAATCTAGCGGATGAAGAAGGCTGATGAGGGTGCGAAGAGTGTTGCGAGAAAGCGGGGGAATCTGAAAAAAGGCAGTGACGACCAGAGGGGACAACTGGAGACTCGAGAAGACCTGAAGATGTCAACCCTCCAATGCAGTGCTGGATTGTACACCGCTCGTTTCTTGGGGTCGGCCAGGTGGGTCGGAGAAGAAGAAGAGGGGAAATTGTTGGGACTGACCCTAATTGCAGCTTGAAGATTTCGGGGATCAAAAGAAATCCAATTCAAATCAATCAGAGTTGTTGTTCCCTTCGAAGGCCGGGGTAATGCTGGGTGTCAAAAGTCTTTGACGGAGATGTTGGACGTTTGTGTTAAGAGAATATGGGTGGAGAGTGGTTTGTAATCTTTTAATCCTTCAAGACCGGCGAAGGATGCAGGATTTATGTAAGAAAAATGAAGCTGGTTCGTTTTGTTGTTTATCTATGAAACAATTGAAGAAAGACTGCCTCCGTCGAGAGGTTTTGATGCTTTGCTGGAATCCTGGCCAACCAAGAGCGTCAAAAATCGAAGAGAAAAATGTTTATCAACACAAATGGGTTTTTTATTAATGCCCAATTGATTTGTTTGCGTATATATATATTTAAACCTTTATATGTATATATATCTGTTTCTTTATGTACGAGTTGATGGATGGTTTCTTGAACGAAATTTGAACAACCAAGTCGGGTCTTGGATACGTTGATGTGAAGGAGATGGCGATAGATTTGTAGAAATGTATGAACACAAAAAGAGGGGGAATCAAAGGTGAGGCAGAGGGGAGAACGGAGGAATTAATGGGGGTGCCAGGTGGTCGTGTTGACCAGCAACGACCGAAGTTTAGCTTCCGAAGGAGGTTCTGGCTACCAAGGAAGACAAGACAAGGGTGTGTGTAGTTAGGGAGTGGATGATGATGCTGCTGCTGATGATGATGATGATGGAAAAGGGACCTGCAAGGATTGAAAGGAAAAAAAATATTATTTGCCTCTTCTCTGGTGCAGTGAGGAAGGTATCCTTTGGCTTGAGGATTGAGGTCACCGAGCCTTTCTTTTTGTTTTTCTTGGAATATGTAGTGCACTCTCTCCTAGATGAATCCTCGGAACGAGTTCGGCTCGGCTGATGACAACGGCGGATCAGACGGACTGATGTGTTGATGGGCATCAAAAGCGGTCAGTTAGTTGTCGCTCGCCTGGTGGACCAGTGGAAACATGTCCATCAGCTCTTGATCGCTTGTACTTACCTGATCTGTTGTTACTATTATTTATATTTTCGACAGTCAGTTTGAACTATCCTTAGTTCAACATGAACACCCAAAGGTTGATCCAGTGCTCACTCGAAAACATGAAGAAGCACATCCGACCTCGTTTAAGATCACATCCGAACCTGTATACTCCTTTGAGATCACATCACATCCTCTGACATTTGTCTTGAGCTCATCTCAAACTAATTTTATGGGTTTCTTTGGACACTATGTAGCTGTCTCGGAGCTAGCTCCTTCGGCTCCGTCTCGTCCACGGAATCGTGATCGCGATCACGGCGCTACGAAGGAGCTTCTTGGTCCTTCCCGCAACCGAGGTTTACATAGTTCCAAGGGGGCGAGGAACGCATCGCCGTTTTGTCCATCCCGAAGCTTTCTAAAGTGGCTTCGAAGACCCAAGGGGCCCTCCGCAGGGCGGACTCCTTCGAACCCCGGAGGGTGTGTTCAAGTTGGAGTCCACCGATGGCCCATCACGGTGCTGACGACCTTCGACTCGAGGAGCTCGATTTCCTAGATCTTCAGGGAACCCAGCACATGGCCTCTGGACTGGCAGATAAACTGGGGAAGATAATCTCATTGATTGATGTTAGTAATACTGGGCCTGGCGCTAGTGATCCAATCAACTTCATCTCGGCCTCAGTCACTTTCACCACGAGGCGAGTTTTTTGAAACTGGCCCCGTCCGATGGACACTTTCCTGAGGAAAGATGCAATCATATCGTCCAATGGACGCTCTGGCAAGCAAGCATCCAGGTGGGTGATGCTGGCCAAGGATGAAGTGTCCGATGGACGCTAGATTCATTGTCCATCGACACTCTCCTGTGGGGAGTGTCCAATGGATGATGGTTTTTAGTGTGGCCATTGGTCACTTTGATTTAAAATTGCTCATGGGATGGTCAATGGTTGAAACCAAAAGTGCGGTTGATTGTTGAAAAACACTGCAAAAGTACGGTCAATCTTTAAAAAAGGCTCCAAAAGTGCAAGTGGATTGTCAAAAAAAGCTCCAAAAATGCACTTGCAGATCATCATTAAGGGCCTGTACCTTTGTAGGGATACAGCTAAGACCATCTCCACCGCCGGTTGCCATCAGAGTTGCCAAATCTCCAAGTTCGGCAACTGCGCCGCGCTTTTAGCAACTGGAAGCCGATTGACTTTGCACCGCGAGTTGCTCAAGATAGCAACTGTGGAACGTGAAAGGTTCCCCCGGGGATCCAATCCTTGCTCTACCAACCCATACCGGACACACATAGCTACCGGTACCGGTCTTGAAAGTATGTATAACTCTCAAAGACCGGTGGTACCGGTCTTTGGGAGTGTACGTTCTTCAGCGACCGTTCCGGTCCTTGAGAGTGCGTGTTCTCCAGCAACCGGTACCGGTCTTCAAGAGTGTACACTCTCTAGTGACCGGTACCGGTATTTGAGAGTGTACACTCTCTAGTGACGGTACCGGTATTGGAGAGTGTACACTCTCTAGTGACCGGTACCGGTATTTGAGAGTGTACACTCTCTAGTGACGGTACCGGTATTTGAGAGTGTACTCTCAAGACCGGTAATAGTCTTTGAAGTGCCTGGTGAGTGGGTGTCGGGGGATATGGGGACAGAGGAGGGAGAGAATCACAGGTGAGATCTGTGATACTTGGAAGGTCGGGTTGCTATCCAGTTTCTATGTTTGGCAACACGATAGCTCCTGGAGGCCGAGTTGCTATTTTTTTTGAGCGTTTAGCAACCGCGGTGGCGTTGCTAAATCGGCCTTGGGTTGCTATAATGGGTTTAGCAACCCGGTTTAGCAACCCGCG